TGGAATTCATTTAATAACAATCAAACACTTGCGAAGGACATACCGTAAAAAGACGAGGGGTGAGTAGCTTAGTATACCAACTGATAATGCATGCAAGTGGAGACGCAGGTAGACATTTATAGACAAGCGAGTGCGGGTGCAGAGGCGGGTGCAGTTGTACAATTGCAGCGCTGTGCATCCGGGCAACGGCGGGTACCTCGGCTAGTATATATGCGTGTGTGTGTTTGCACACACACACACATATATGTACACACACACACACACACACACACACACATATATATATATATATATATATATATATATATATATATATTGGCCAGCTACTCTTTTCCAAACGCCTCCGTCAGTTAGATGTCTGTGTCTGTTCACATCCATATATTTGATAAGCCGAATATTACATGTAATTGAAATATAATTATTTTATATGTTAAATTGATATCCTTGACGTTCTATAACGTTCATTAATCTTTCAATCATTGATATTGATAACTTTTCTGGGGTTTTCGACTTTACAAGTATATACTACTTATCAAAGATCTGTTTTGATTCGATACGGTTTTTCTTTTACACATACATTGATGAATCATAACTTCTCCATTAATGAGAGGAAAGACTGATGACATTGCATTAATTGCATGCTTGTGAAAACTCTTTTGACACGGTGGTCAATAAACAGGTTTACAGGTGATGAAGGCGCATGGCCTTTTAAGAATAAACTCTTTAGCAAAAACGTCTTAGTTCTAAGCACTAACGTAAAAGAAATTTTGTCCAAGAAATTTTTTGTATTATCGTTCATATAATCAACTGTCAAGGGATCTATACTTATACTTATATTGCCAAAAAAATAGCCACAAATATTATTTCATCTTCACCTTGTTTCTTGAAGGACTCAAATTTTAGCCTAGACATTAGTTCCGTCTAATGTATCTCTACAGTCAATGTTATAAACTTCATTGCGTAGTCAGTTTTGATGTATTTGTTCACTAAACTAAGGGCTTTTTATTATATTTATTTAAATCTGTTGGTTTGGTTTGCTTTAATGTTTTGAGCTATTTTTTCTTACTATTATCAATTTTTAACGTTCTTTACATTCGTAAAATCCACTTTTCTTACCGATAACCTTATTAAATTTATTTACATTTCTCTCCGTCACATTCTTAACGGCATTTTTGTAGACATTATCTTGCAATTTTTTTGATCATTTTTTATTTAATTTCTTGTTTGTTTCCTGTTTTTGTTACATATATATAAATATATATATATATATATATGTGTGTGTGTGTGTGTGTGTGTGTGTGTGTGTGTGTGTGTGTGTGTGTGTGTGTGTGCAGATATACAGAAAAATAGGAAAGAACACGTTAGGTAAATAATCCGAAGTTCTTTAGCATTTTTGTTTTAATTTAAAAAAAAACAGTGCTCAATACAAAAGTAGAGGCTAAATTATAACTATTTTTTTAAATGTATGTAGCGAAGGAATCATACTTTTTAAAAAATAATCATATATATATATATATATATATATATATATATATACATATATATATATATTATAAATTAATTGATTTAAAAATATGGTTTTTTCCGCTACACAGTTCTAACCGTGTTTTAAAATGGAAGCTAAAAGCCACGAATTTAATTTTGCAATTAAATTAAAGACATTAGTTCCATTTCATCCTCATATTTTAAATCAATTAAATTTATAATATTAATGCTCTGTAAATTTACATCGAGCACTATTTTGTAAAAATAAAAATACTTATAAGAACACCGGATTATATGTCTTACTGTTCTTTCTTTTATTTATATTCATATATATATATATATATATATATATATATATATATATATATATATATATATATATATATATATATATATATATATATATATATATATATATATATATATATATATATATATATATATATATATATAACAGGACATATTCGGTCAGATAGGTTTGATCACTTACGGAATTTAATTTAAGAGTATTATCGTATGAACTCGGCGGATGAAACTTTATACTATAGCGATCAACTATATAAATGATGAAATTAAAATCAACAGTTATTTAAAACGTCTTTTGAACTGCGCTGGCCGCAAGATTGCTTGATTAATAATGCAGCATCTCGATGATTAAATTTATAAATTTCTTCCTTTGGCTCAGCTTAAAATTTCAATTTCTTTCTAATTATAATACGCACCTAATGTCAATTAACTTCTCACTTATATAATGATTAACATTGCCGGCATCATTTATTTCCTATTCTTTGGCCAATTATTCTTACATAGTAAGTGTTGCGGAAATATTAATATATTGACGGATTGATTGGTTTCCTACGGCTTATCAACCCTTTCCAGATTATTTAAAGCTTCAATGTTATTGTTTTAGATTGTGAGAATTCTTTCTTTATATTATTATTATTATTATTATTATTATTATTATTATTATTATTATTATTATTGTATAACTATTTGAATGAGATAATAAAGGCAGCTAACTCTTTACCATTCAAAGATCAACTTTGAACTTGAAATCCGTCTCCGGAACTCTGATTGGCTAACTACAGTCCAATCAGGATTCTTATTTGTGGCTACGCAGTAAACGGTCCTGAAATCGTCTCTTTTTTTGGAGCCGTCCCTTCCGACGTTAACAGATTCCAGAAGCCGTGAAGCCCACTTGTTACTTGTACACTCTCATAACATTTAAGTCTGCAAATATAAATTATATTTGCAAGCCTTCTTTTTCACTATTGTGTATAGACCTTTTTCTGAGCTGTTCTAAAAAAGAATCTAAAACATAACTTTACAGTCGTGGTGTTACTTTTCTTCTTCAAGTCTGTCCGTCTTTGTCTTTGATTTGTGGACCTTAACTGAAACCAGAAAATATTTGTAATAATAATGAGTTAGTGATGCAAGTTAACTAATTAACCCATAGCTGGGGGCAGATGGTGTGAATTCATACCTTTCCCGAATGTATTTGCGCGCAAGTGAATATAACGAATCCCGCGAAGATTAGAACTCTCTGCTACCCCAAGCCTTGAATGTGTATATAATTTCCAGTATACCTCAGCGAATTCTAACCAGACACAACTATAATTAAGGACGTATAGTTGTCAAACGCGCTGTTTATGTTGATGTTGTAGGCGGTGATGCTTTAGATCAGAAATGCCCAGTACACACGTGATATTGTAAAATTGTGGGATAGCAAATGTCCCTAACATTTCATAAATGGAATACCCCATCTCTATATAGTACCTATAACAACCATCCGTTCGGACCTCGGTAATTCACGTCGCCCTTTCTTAGCTAACCTAGCCAGTATTCACAATCATTCCCTGATTGATATTTGAGTATTTCTGTGATGTAAAAATACGGTGGCGTTGCTTAACATTATCTTTATAGTCTTCTATCCTATGACATTGATACATCTGTGTATAAATTATCATACCAGTTCTGTAATGATTGCATATTATTCCAGATGATTATATCAAGCGGGGTGAGATAACATAAAGATAAAAATTCGTGATTGGGAAGTTGAGATAATATTAAGGCGTCCTCAACTTCTTTCGGGAAAGGGAAGAAAGAAAAAAAGTAAAGCCTATTTCCACACAACACCTTTATTTCCACTGATGAAGAACCAATGCATATGTCACTTTTCAACATATCCCCCACCCCCAAAAAAAAACTTTACGTTCCTTTATTTTGGTATAATATCACTGATGACAGGGTGATTAAAACTTGTCACTGTGTGTCATTTATTTCTAATTTATTCATTTGAAAATTTTTAAAAAGTTTATTTCTTCTTTAGAGAAAAAGTTATGAAAAATGTTCACACGTATGATCTTCCTTAGTGAAAATCGCCAATGGCTTTTAAAAAAACGAAAACTTTTATAAAATTCCAAAAACATTGTACTTAATCACTGATGAAAAAAAAAAGAAAAATTTAAGAAAAATAATGTATTTTTATGTACGCGGTTACGTATGAGAGAGTGTTTTCGAACAGTTGAGAATGAAAAAAAAGAGGAAAAATTTAAGAAACTTTATTTTCCTTATAAAATTAAGCGTAAATCAAAGAGGAAAAGCAATTTTCATGCACTTTTAATCCCACTGATGAAGAAGAAATTCATATGTCACGTTTGACATAGTCTCCCTGCACGGCGATGAGTTTAAACGATGGTATCGTTCAATGAGCTTCTTCATCCCATCCGAAAAGAAGCATTTCCGTTGCTCACGAAGCCACGTCTGCAGTGATTGCTTGTTTGGGCGCCCACTTTGCGGCACCCGAAGTCATCATGCCGACGATTGCCGCCACTTGTGCTAACGTGATTCTTATTCCAACAAGGTGAGAGCTGATGAAAAAAAAAATTTAAGAAACTTTATTTTCCTTATAAAATTAAGCGTTCCATTCAGAAAGACCAAACGGGTCGCATGCAACCCGCGGGCATTGTTTTTCTCATCGCTGATCTACACTATACCACTAGCATCTACTTCTGAGGTAATACGGCAATACAAGGAAATAGAAGAAATCCTTCTATATATGTAAATATATAAGAGGAATCCCATTGCTGTGGATTTGTCAGCGATTTAATCTAGAAGATTGTCATTGCTTTACTAAATTCGACCCTGACTTGGTTCCCTACAGTTGTTTCTTTTGACTAGACTAAATTAAGCTTAGCAAATAAGATTTATACAAGAGTAAATCAAGGAGGAAAAGCAATTTTCATACATCTTTAATCCCACTGATGAAGAAGAAATGCATATGTCACGTTTGACATAGTCTCTCTGCATGGCGATGCACTTCTGGTATCGTTCAACGAGATTCTGCATCCCACCCGAAAAAAAGCGTTTCAGTTGCTCACAAAGACACGTCTGTACGTCTGGCTTGTTTGAGAGCCCAGCAAACACATTTTACGGTATCCGAAGTCATCATGCGATACGATTTGTGCAGATCAATAGCTGTTTCCGACTATTGCCGCCACTTGTGCTAACCTGACTCGTCGGTCTTCCCTGACCAAGGCATCTAGCATGTGGATATTTTCGTCCGTGCGCGATGTTAAATAGCGATCAAGATGGTTTTGGTCCGTTACATTTGTTATTCCTGCGTTCAACAAATTTCGTTGATTCATCATGCGTGCTCCATACTCCGCCTACACCCGGCGATGGTAGGTTTGGCCCCGTCGACCCGCAGTAAGCGCACAACGGTGCATTGTTCGTCAATTGTGCAACCGCTGAGTATAGCGTCTATACGCCTGACCTCGTTGCTACTCTCCATTCGATTGAACTGCGCACAGATCGTGTCACGAGTCTGCGCCCCTCTGTTTTACCGCTTAATTTCTTAACTGTAGCGGAAGCGAAATGCAGTAAGAGCGGCCTACCACCACTGATAACGGTACCCTCCCCCCGGCTTGGAATGACGTGATCTTCCGGAGCCCTTAAGTTAGCTCCGAATGCGCTTGTCTTTAAAGTGTAAGGCTGATTTGTGCTCCGTGTACATCTTTCCTCAGAATGGTTTGAATGGACTCAAACAGTTGCTTTTCTCCCTCTTAAGTTTGCTTTTCCTATGCCGCGTGTTGAGAGATGAGCCACTGTGACAACTTCCCTATCCTCACTATCAAACCTTTACATCCCGGTAATCAGTGTCATCGTAAATTCTGGAGCTAGGAAGCTTACTTTAACGAGTGACATCAGGACTTGCGTATTAGCCGTCGGTTCAGTAGCTGTTCACAGCTTACGAGGTCATTGTATCGAGGATTAGTGAAAGGACTCGCGCTGAAATCGCTCCGTGGGCGGTTCGACTAGTCGATGGCGTGTTGCGCCCATTCTAGTCAGTGTTGACCAGCCTTTCTTCAATTCCCTTTCGTGCCAGATTAACATGTATATATGCGATGTCCAAGCGATATCGAGGATTTCTGTTTGAGTTAAAGTAGGAGTGTAACCTGCTTCACCTGAAATTCGTTCATCCTTTCTTATGTTTCCGGTGTCTCGGCTACGTTTGTCCCTTACATGTAGGAGTTCTGTTCTTGTCCTGTCCGTCTTGATCCCGTATTCGGCTGCTTTCGTGTTTGTTTAAGATGCTGCTAATTTGTCCGCCCCTCCTGAGCTGTGAGACCCCTATTCATTGCGGATACACAACCAATAAGAAGAAAAACGACTACTTTCCGGTAAAAAGATACAAATCTACGTGTAAAAAGAACTTTAATAAAACTATTACGTTTCGCTCCCATATGCAGATAGACATATGTTCAATGGGAGATAAACAAACCAATCCTGTAAGATAAATGAATAAAAAATAAAGTCGAAGCCGTGTTGCTGCTTAGTGCACCGTGAATTACAAATAACTATGAGCAAACTAATCTTGCAAGAAAATCAGATAAGTATCGAAGCAGAAAAGATCTTACAGTTATTTATCGTGCCGAAATTACTAATAACAAATTGATTCTTTAAGAAAATTAAATAAGTATCGAAACAAAATAACTTGTAAACATCTACTATACGAAAAAAAAAATATCGATATCTCTGAATTTATATTATACAGAGCGATATTCAATTAGGAATCCAGAACACAGAACAGGTGATAATCTGGGACTAGAAATATTTGCAGCATCTTGGGCAAATGTAAAAACCGTGTAATTTATATATTGCTTGGAGAAGATCGAACCTGTCATTTTTTTTTTTAATATTGGTTACCCAAATACCTGTAATTGGAATAAATGCAGTGATTGCGCATAACTAGAAGCAAATATAAATGTCCAGGTCGTGGAATTTCAAATATCTCGGCGTATGGATCAGTTATAACAAATTTAATAGAGGAGAAAAAGAAACTGTACATAGATTGGTTTTGTTTTGGTTTGTTTTACGGCATATCAACCTCAATGGGTTATTTAATGCCGACAATTTTTTTTTCTGGTAATTTTTTTTTTCAAAAATGTACAGCTGGTAATATCTTTTTTTTTTCTAAAATGTATTACTGGTAATAAATAGTTTTTTACAAAGTATTTCTGGTATTAAAATCTAATTTTACACTTTCATAGTGTTTTACGGGTTAACTATTTACCCATAGTTGGGACCCTAACAGATGCTACCACCCCGGGTCAGGGTGGACCTGGGAACACCAGCAGTTAAGAGGTGGTTCCACGCTCCTCAAAATCTCCTGATCAGAGGACTTTCTGTTGGACGTAGTTTATCGTCTTACCCAGGATGCGGATGTAGCTTATCGTCTTACCAAGGACGCGGATGTAGTTTATCGTCTTACCCAGGACGCAAACGGTACATAGAATAAACTACGCTAGATGATGTTTCGCCCAACACTACAAATTGCTACAAAATCAAGACATTAATCTGAAAACTCGAGTCTGTAAAGTGTGACGAGTACGTCCAGTACTGTACGTCAGTAAAACACGCCCGACCGCGTTCACCGGTCCACTTTATATACTATGCCAAGGGCAGGTAACTCTGTCCCAGCTTGTTTCGCAGGGGCAGATAACTCTGTTCTCATCTACACAAAGCCATGCTTTTAAATAGACTTGTCAGATCGTGACTTTCTATGTAGATATCAGGTATGGCGTCAAAAATATCTAAACTTTCAGTTGAACACAAATGCTTTTCTCAATTACTTTGAATATACGCTCTTTAGCGCTAGAGGGCGTCGTCATTGATGTTTTGAATTGGGTCATTGGACAGTTTCGGGTCTTTCAAACATCATACTCCCCTGACCAAATCAGTCTCTGATGCGCCCCCGCCCCTCCATCTATATTAACAGTCTGCAGACATTGACTTATATTAGACAAACCATAACCCCTCTATCACGCATTTGATTGGAAGTTGACCAACAGCCAATCGCAATGGTGCGAGCTCTGATTTAAGTTTTTTACGGGGGATTTTTACTTTTGCTTTTTTTTTTTGTGGATAATCATTGGATACTCGGAAGGTAAGTATATGTTTTTCGGTTTGTTTTTTATCCTTTTTACTTTTTTTTTCATCTCCCCAGCTGATAATTACTGTTAGTAAATAAAATAAAATAAAATGAAATAAGAAATAAAAAAATTAAAAAAAGATGCAACCTTAAAATAAATTCAAATTTACATTGTTTTTACGATTAAAAAAATAAATTACGACTTATGCAGCGTGTAAAAACGAAAATAAATATATAAATAAATGTCGTTTAAAACAAACTGAACGATTAAACTTCGATAAAATCTCTCGATTAACGTGGTAAAATTAACGTGTGAGATTAACAAATAAAATTAAATTTACGATTTTGATTGTTACGCGAAAAAAACGGCGGAAAGCGGAGTGAACAATATTGGTAAGTTGGTCGTTTAACAAGAATTATAATTATAGATTTATGGTTAAAAATCTTTTTGAGCGAGTGAAGACTGTGCGTCTTGGCGAAGACCACATTTCGAACTGGTGCTACAGAATCACTAAGAACTGTACCAAATAACAGAGACGATATCATTTGAGGGCTTTCAACACCAGCAACTGCTAAAATGGGTATCACATGGAAGTCGAAGAGAAAATAATGCCATAATCAATATGTCGACGTCCCACACTACTTCAAACAAAAAATGAGGAAGGAAACCCCAATCGATACTTGAAACAACGATAACAGTTACTGGACTTGAAAAAACTATTTTGCTGAAAAATCGTTTTAATAGAAAGATTTTATAAATTTCGGCCGACAGTAATACTAGCTGCTCGTTAAATGAATGTCTAATTTTTCTTTATAAGAAAACATCTAATATTATTACCATTACTATATACGCATCATCCATAATGTTTAAATTATCCACTCCTTCAGGGTTTTAAATGAAAATTCCTATGCGTATATCCGCGAATATTCACTCTTGTTACATGAGAAATGATCGTTAGAAAATGATTCTATGAACATGTTATTCATTTTAAGCTTCATATTAATAATTAAATATTTTCAGGAATCGCATTCAAAATTTAAAAAGTCTATAACTTGATGGGGAGAATTCGAGAGAAATGAAAGAAAACGATGCTGACGGCACTTGAGTTTGAACATTGACCGCCATTGAGCAAATACAGGCGATCCCATTATGTAGACCACGTGACCATAGAGGAAACGCATATATGTAGGACGTAGCTGACGACTAATGATCCCTGTTTCTAGTCTATCCTCTATGCTATACGGATCGCTATTTCTACTCTAACCTCTATTGCTATACGGGCCGCTATTCTCTACTCTATTCACTATACTATTTCTCTATTCAGATCACTATACGGTGGTTACTTCGAGCGAGTATTATCGAGCAAGTACTATTAGTGCTGGTGATATTCGAAGGTGTCTGACATCAGTATTGTTCAACGGCGTTACTATAGTTGCGTCTGTGATTACGAAGTCTCTACAACAGCGAGCATTACGAAAGTGACAATGAGTATTCGTTGACATTAGAAAAGTGACAACGAGTGTTCGTTGACATCACAAACGATCTATTCGCGATTCTTATATGCTATAGTGCGTTGAAATAAGAAAATCCGACAAATGGGCGTGGTCCCTAATTTTCTTAACTTTTCACTTACATTTTGAATTAAGTCACCTGAACTGTTATATAATATCTTAATTAAGCTTAAACTGTCTACGCTAATATTAAGTAAATCAATTTCTTAGAAAGTTATTCGTAAAATCTCTTGATAATGGAAAGAAACTCTGTATTGTCATTCAATTTTTAAAATTAATCTACATTAGGAGTTTTACGTTTTGAAACATAGGATGTTGTGTGTCGCGATGGAATCATATTTTTAAAACAAATTATATTATGCTCTACGGATCATATTGAGCACTTTTTTTAAAATAAAAATAAATGATAAAAACTCTGAATTATAAATATCACTGTTCTTTCCTATTATTATACATATATATATATATATATATATATATATATATATATATATATATATATATATATATATATATCTTTGAAAAAGAATGACTAAAAATTTCACATTTCTAATCAGCTTATAAATAAATATAAAATACTGTGAAATTTAAAATAATTTTATTAATTAACTTAAGAATGATGATTCATCATAAACTTCAAATCACAAAACAGTGTAATGCCCATGCTGCTACCAGTAGATATAAATTTAAAAAAAAAGTTCTAACTGCAGATTGTGCATGTCTCCAGTGGACGAATATGTGCTTGTTAAAACAGAACATTGGATTAACATTGTAAAATAAAGATTTATTAGATGAATATATAAAAATCATACTTCATAGACCGCATATCAAATGATGCAGTGTGAGACATTTTCAGAAAAGAAACAAACTCGTTGTAAAGTCGCATTTGCACCACCTAGAAGAGTAATTTGAGACACGATAATGTTTCTACTGCCATCCTTCATGCTGATAGTTTAGGAAAAAGGAGAGGTTGAAGACAGAAGAAAAACGGACTGGAAACTTTGATGGTCTGAGATATTATTCACAGTGACTCGCACACTGGCACGCAGCCGATATTTTCAAATAAGTTCATCGAATGAAAGATGAAATGAGAGAAAGGCATTTAACAAAAACGTCAATAACAGCCAACTGTTTAAGGTTTGCCTGCACGGCAAAGGTGTTCCGCATTTATCGAGCGTAGGTCTGGCTGAATTACCTTTGGATAAAACATAGTTGGAAAAACCAATTGATTGAAAGCTGCAGCATGATAGAAGTCTGAATCACTGAATGCATTCTGCCTATTGATTTTGTTGTTACCTTACTATTTCGATCGAGCTATACCCGGCCTTTTACAGGTATACAATGTCTAATCAAGAACAGGACATGTTTTTTAAACGAAGCAGAATAATTAACTCAAGCAATCTTCATCAAAATTTAATTATAGTCATTAAGACAAATAAGAGAATGCAAAGTTGAGAGAAAAAATATATATAGCTACGATGAACGGCAAATCGAAAAAAAAAAAAAAAAAACACTGACCGGTTTTCGTTCCTCCCTCTTCAGTGATCATTCGAGGAAACAACACATTTGAAGCACGTCTAAGAAAAGAGAAACTTTTCTAAATGAGGATAGGATATACACATATATTAATAATATAGCAATAAAGCTGGCCAGCTTTTCTTTCCTTTTCTTTATATCTTCTTCATGTGTTAATCGATTTCTTTGTCGAATGGTATGACATTGGTGTGCCTGAATTTCCTTTTTTTTAAATAACTCCTTTGTTGTTAGCTGTGTCCCCTAAGGGCGTGAAAAACCGGGGTCCCCCAAAACCGGTT